AACCACCTCGACTGATGAAGTTCCAACACTTCATCGATTAACCTGCCATCCTTACATAGGACCCGTTTACTAACTATAGCATTGCTTACTCGGTTGTCCCATTATACACGAGCAATGCTTCAGAGACACCTATGATCGAAAACAAGCAACCTACGAATATCTTCAACTCTGACTGGCCGGGTAGTATGAGTCTTTTGCATTGTAACTTTATAACTCGTAAGTGGCTAGTTTCTGTTCCTTCGTATTTTGCTGGTGAATCATGAATTAACTTGTTGTCGGGCCATACTGTTTTTGAGCTCATTGCTTTGAATGTATGTGGCATAAACGAATAATTATTGATGTAAATCCATGTATTATTTGTCTATTTACTTACATAAATGTGCTACAAATCTAAGATAGTGTTTTGTTGTCCCAGTAAATCTAATAGCTAGTTAGTTGGTGAGGTGGAGAGTTTCCATTGCGTTGGGAATCCAGGAAATGTGTCGCACGTGATTACTTATATATATTCATGCTACGTGGTTTAAGGTAACCAAAAGCAAACCTATATGCACTCGATATCAATTCACTCAGACTGGTGGATTCGTTGCGAATCGATCAGTAGAATGCGATCAAGATTCGTGAATAGATAACAAACTTTGGTTACTACTCAGTGGTAGTTCAGCATGTGTATGCTGTTAGATATGACAGTTTTCTCGTTTATTCTTTCTGTGAATCCATCGTCTTCCACAGTGGGGGGGGGGGTTGATTTCGAGCAAGCTGACCTTGCCTGCTCTTCAGGGTATGTGGACGGATGTCATTAGGCTAAATGAAACCAAAAGACACCTAAGTGGATCTTATAGTATTGCAGCTCATTAAAAGATAATGGCGACCATGTCCTGCAGCTATGCTCAGATAAACATCCATTTCTGGCGAACACCAGCCTAAAGCATAAAGATAAACATCTGACATGATAAGTCCTAAAATAAGCTCAATGCTGGACCCAAAAAGACCATATTGTCATCAGCCCACCGATTTAGAGACATGTTAGGAAACTGCCCCTCATTCTGAAGCACATGTTTAGACTCCTGCCATGTTCTACTACAAGCACCTATTGATCTGTGGCTTGCTGGCCGTAAGGAAGACAGCAACGATACTCCTTAGAGTTCTACTTAACGATAACAAAGTCAAGAATATACTTCAGGAGCAACTAGAAAATCAGTCAGACATCCATGCAAGTGATGCTCTTCCCAATGCAGCTTGAAATGATATCCAAAAAGTTGCGAAAACAGCAGTATATCTGCCAGTAAGTTAAACCGAAAGGATAGGAAACGCCATTGGATTCCAGAATTATACACCGAACTGGTAGATGCTCAGAAACTCATCCAGTCTTGCTCTGAACATAATAAGTAGCGGAATCAGCTTAAGCGCAGGCTGATAAGAATCTTATGCAATGAATGCGAACGGTAGTGGGTAGCGAAAACAAGAGCGATGGAAAAAGCAACGGCGATAGGTAACAGTAGACAACTGTTCAGATTTACCAATCAAACTGGTGAGACTATCTCAGAAAAAGATGAGACTATTATTCATTGATCTATGGGTAGAACATTTTAGTAAACAGTTCAACTGGCCTTCACTTCACTTACCCACTATCTCCAGTCAACCTGATATTAGTCCACCCACTCTTGATGAGGTTGAAAAGGCTATAGACAATCTGCGGCGAGAGAAAGCAGCAGTTCCTGATAAATTACCTCGACAAGCGATGTTGTCTGATGATTAGAGACTCTGAATGACTTGGCTCAAGATCGTTTGCAATCGCGCAGATGAATCCACCCTTTGTCTTCTCTCAAATTCTAGTCTGAATCCCTCTTGATCTGCTTTTCTTTTAGTACTTACTTCACTTGGAAAGAAGTTTCTTCGTGTTTAGTTATTTATTCCATATAGTAATTTATTCACAAATATATTATATCGAGCAATCAGTTTTGTTACTTATTTCTTAAGCAAATCGATTTTGGTTGTTTCCGTATTGTATATTGTATGAATTCGAATATTCTCATTTATTATAAAATCTGTTTCTTTCCTATGAAAAAACATTTTTTGTAGTTATTCTCAGGAGAGTATGTTTGATATTGCAATCGATGTTAATCGTTATTCGGAATTTTTACCTTGGTGTAATCGATCCATTGTATTGGAACAAGGCGAAAATAACATGTTAGCCCGTTTGGGTGTTGGATTTCCTCCACTTAGTGAATCATATTTATCTCGAATAACATTTCAACGACCTAATCATTTAAAGGTAATTAAAAAATTGATTGTTTTTTTGTTCAATGTTATCTTCATCATTAAAGTAGTTGAGGTTTTTGAAATAAAATGAGGTGATGAAGAGAGCACTTCACTGCTGTTTATTCATTATACTAACTTTAATGGTTAGTTGTTTAAATTATTCGACAATAGTATTGAACACTTTTTATATTTTAATAATTCGATGACAGTATCGATTATTGTATATTTGATTGTGTGTGTGTGTGCGCGCTAACTTCGCTTATTATTGCCTGACTATAAATACTTAGTCATGCTTCAGCGCATGAGAGCTGGCTCTCTCGACCTCCCTAATCGCGCTTCGCTTGTACGCTCTTCGTTCTCATGTCTGTCTGCCCTAAATGAATGCATGTGTGAAAGATATCGATCACACTGTAGGAGACGCTCAGCTCCAACGATATGCTGGTATTATTAGATGTATGACAACTAAGCTTGTAAATGTAGACCACCATTCAGGTTTACATTAATAAAACAGGGAAACGGTTCCGCCGGTTGTTGGTAACAGCTGTGGCAGCTGGTGTAGATCCACGAAATACGTCTAGGATCTAACGACGGGTGCCCAATTCTTATTGGACACGAGCAGAAATTAGCTTCCAGCCTCCTGTCAACAATGAAAGACGAAATATCAGTAACTCGCTAACGCTTACAGCAGCAAACAAATCGGACATAGAGACATATGAGAAGTGAAAGTTAACCTTGAATTTTAGTCGGGAAACTTCACTTTACTGGGAGTTCGTCATAGCCGATGTATCGATTTATTTGTAGATTGCCGACGAGACCAGCTCTTGAGCAGAGATCGTACAGTGGTGATAAAAGGAATAGTCGCCGACCAAGTTTCCATGAGTTTAGTAGTGTCAAAAGAGAAGAGTGATATATACATACCACTTTTAAATGAGTACTCCGACTTGACAAGGGTATCATATAACAGCGCTAATCTTAAACATATAGGGCAGCACCACATTGTAACGAAAGACCCACCTTGTAACGCAAGACCACGAAGGCAGAACCCCAAAAGGTTAAGAATGGCGAAACTAGAATTCGACAGATTGATGAAACCAGGTACTATAAGACTGTCTATCAGTCGGTGAGCATCCCCGTTGCATGGAGTTCAAAAAAATAATGGACATGGCAGACCATGTGGAGATTATAAAGCCCTCAATAAACAAACTCTGGCAGATAGATATCCCGTACCACACATCCACGACATTACTAACGACATGGAAGGTGCCACGATGCTTTCAAAGATTGACCTTGTTAGGGCTTATTACCATATTCCCGTGGCGCCTGAGGATGTACCAAAAACGACTGTAATCACCGCGGGTCATGGGGAAGAAAATATTAATACGTACGAATGTGTATGCCGGACAAATAAAACTGGCTTGAATACGACGAACGGGAGAGTTTCCTTGAAGGACTAGCTCTAAACTCTATGTTCTGATTCGTAGTAGTGTGTAATGGTATTAATTGCAGTAATGGTGTAATGTTCGAAGGTAATGAATTCGTGAATAAATAAGATGAATTTTGATGAATGCATAAGCGCTATGGCAAAGCTCATCGACCAAGCAAGTAACTGCAGGTATAATAAGAAAGTTTAGTCCAGATTGTCTTTGAAAAAAATGGAGAACAATGATTGTTGTGTACATATCTGGGCAGGATCATCGACAATCAACGTGGATCCGATGCACATGTAAAGGCGCGGATCGGCTAAGCAAAGGTTGTATTTTTACAATTGATAAATATCTGGCACACCAAACAAATATCTATCAACATCAAAATCAGGATTTTCAATACAAATGTCAAGACAGAGCGGACACTTGGAGAACTACGAAAGCCATCATCCAGAAGATACAAGTATTCATCAACAGTTGTCCTCGCAAAATACTTCGGATTCGTTGACCAGACACCATCAGCAGCAACCTATTGTGGGACAGAGCAAACCAGATTCCAGTGGAGGAGGAGATCAGTAAGCGGATGTGGAAGTGGATAGGATACACTGCGGAAAGCACCGAACTGAGTCACAAGACAAGCCCTCACTTAGAACCCTCAAGGTGAAAGGAAAACAGGAAGGTCAAGGAACACATTACGCCGAGAAATAGAGTTAGTCAGTCAGATGCAACCTAGAACCTAGTACGTAAGTACAACAGTTCATGTTACCATACCACATCAGCACAGAGATATAATTGTCAATTCAAATCAAATCGTAGTAGAGGTAGAAAAGGTATTAGAAGTAATCGGATAGGTTAAGATGAGAAGATATTCAAGAAATATGATTCAGTGAGAAAAGTTTAGAAAGTCAAAACTAGAGGTGTTGAAGAATCCAGAATATTAGGATTTGAGAGAACACAAAGAATAAATGCACCGGCGCCATTGCGAACGATTTTGAGCCATGTCATTCAAGGTCTCTAACCATCAATTATTATCATCTCGTGGACCCCAACCAGGTAGTCGACAACTACCGACATGGCTAAGTCCACTCGTCAATGACTTCATGGACCGAGAAATAGAGAAAGACATGAGAAGAATGAACAAAAACTGGAAAGGGAGTCCCAGGACAGAGTGGGTTGGAGAATGCTGGTCGGCGGTCTATGCTCCATTTGGGGGTAACAGGCATAAGTAAGTAAGTAAGTAATTAATCTACTCAGATCCTTCTCCCTACCCCCTAACATCCTAACACAATGCATGTGGTGTCAAGTCGCTAAGACTTGTGGGCGTATTGTAGCCTTCATTGATAGAATCTGATCAGCACTTAGTAGGACTAGACAGATGTGACTTTAGTCACGTCAATTGTATGTATTCATTTCATTCTTATTGCTTTAATTGTTCTTTGTAAACATAAGTTTGAAATTTTTAGTATTATAAAATAAACTCCAAACTGTATATATCAACTACGTTGTTTCCTTTTCTTTTTTTCGTTTATTTCAAAAGTCGGTTGCACAAAATGCTCAAATGTTTCATCATTTAATTAATGAATGGCATTTTCAACCAGGTCTTCCTGATAATCCAAATTCTTGTTTTTTAGAATTCTCTGTAAGTTAACTGGATTTATGATGATTAATTAATTATTGATTTGGTTTTAATGAGTTTTTTTTCCACTTGATTTTAAGCAGTCAATGCCTTTCATGACTAAGCAATGAATATTTTCTTTTGATGCTAATGTTTTTGTTTCGTCGACCTTTTCTTTTTACTTTGACTAGTACCGTTTAATTTTTGATTAGGTTTTTGTCCTCTAAGCTGGATGGTGTAATCGTGAAGCTTTCATTGTTCTTCCACTGAACAACATCATCAGCATAAAATTCAAGTAGAAGTGAAGTAGTCGAATTTCGCTGTGTACAACTGATAGTTTTTCCTGTCGACATTGGTTTTGATGGGTTATTGTTGATCTGTCACTGTCAGCATATTGAGTTTGATTGTTGTCTCCTTTGACGTGATTGCTGATCTTATATTTGTCCATGATTTTTCTAACTGATAAATCGGGTCAATGATTTCGAGGTGTTTACTGACTACTGGTTGACACAAGTGACAATATCTTAAAAATCCTATACATTTATCTAGTGGATTATACGAATTTAATTGTTGTAACCATAGTAATAAGAAGGTCGAGGATAGGCAGTAAAATAAATGACAGATTTGTAATCTTTTGAATGTTATTTATTCTCAACTTCCTCTCTTTTTACGTTGAAGTTTCGATCTCTAAGTTGAATGTTTTGGTTGTGGAGCTTTCAGGAACCAATAAACGGGACCATCCTATCATATATCTAGAAAAAAGTATCGGAAATTGCGGCACCATTGCTGAAACCATTTGGAATAGGTGTAGCACACAAACCAACAAAATCACTTTAATCACTCCTATATAAACCAATGGACAAAATGACAAAGGAATAAAAACTAAGCATCATTTACAAAATAAACTGTTCAAACTGCGAAAAACACTACATCGGACAAAATGGACGTCCTGTTCGGCTTCGTTTAAGTAAACATCATTTAGCAGTCATAGGTCACGACATTCCTTCTCTTATATCAATTTATACGGACAACTGTGGATATATATTTGATTTGAAAAATGTTGAAATACTGGATAGGGGTAGCAGAAAGAACAGGGAATTTTTAGATGCTTGGCACTCAGGTCAGTCGGCAACCAACAAACACAGCGACATTGATCCAATTTATCAACTAATCAAAGAAAACATAGACACACTGGATCAAGAAACAGATCAAAGGAGGATTACAATCAAAATATGGATGCAAACAACGACAGGTTTAAGGTCAACTGCAACCAATCAAGATGTAGGTTAACGGAATAAGCTACGGGTCTTATGTGGATAAATTTGATGATATTTTTGTTCAGAAGAACTATGAAAGTTCCACAACTAAAACATCCATCTCGGAGAAAGAAAATCCACCGCAATCATCCATCCACCTGAACTACAAAATTTTCTTCAAACAATTAATTGTTTATTGCATTAATTATCTTTTTTTTGTTGTTGAATAAATACCTATTTTGTTCAATGTTGATAGGTTAGTTAAGTAAAAATCATCCTAGTTTTATTGGCTTTTTCTACAGGTTGATTTCGAGTTTCGTTCACCGCTTTATGCAAAAATTGCTGGATTATTCTTTGATCAAGTTGTCACAGTTATGGTGAATGCATTTTTGGATCGTGCTAAAGTACTACACGGCAAACCATCGATTGCTTCACAAAAGCCAAAAATACTAGTCTATAATAAATAGATCAATAATTTAATCAGTCAATCAATCAATAAATAAATCAGTGACTGTGTGTGTGCGTGTGCGTGTGTATATGTGTGTAATTATGTAATCTATCAAACAAACCTTTCATATAACATAAATTTCTATTTTGTACAATTTGATGCGCCCATAAAATCAATGCTACTTGTGGATACTTGCATGAGTTTATCTTTTATTATTATTATTATTACTATTATTATTGTTATCACAAAAAGCCACAATCTTGATCGAATTAATTTTTGTAGGATCTTTCAATTTTTGCGATCATAGAGCGATACTATCCTTATTATTTTTTTTATATATACTTCAAATTGTTTTTGTAAAAAAAAGTGCCGTCAAAATATTCACACATATGCTGAAAATGTATCCTAGTAGCTTTTTTTCGTTTGTCTGTGAACTTTCTTTAATTACTTACTTTCGTAGTTTTTTTAATTCGAAACCAAGTCAGAATTAAATTTGCTACTACAACTTATGAACTTCTTTTTTTGGTTAATTTCTGAAATGTACACATTTATGTTGTGTGTGTGTGTGTGCGTGCGTGCGTGCGTGCGTATGTATTTATTAAGTTAGAAGCCACTAATAATGAAAATAATGATCCGTGGTACATTTCTTATTTCTCTTACCCTTTCTCTTTATTTTCTCCAATTTAAGTTTTGTTTTGTAAAATTTAGCAAGTAGAAAAAATATACGCACAAAAGAACTTGTAAAAAAAAATACTGTTCTTCTTGTTTTTGTTTAATGAACGTCAGTTTTAATTTTAGTTCGTATGGTCATAGTCTTGTTTATTTATTGATTTTGCCATGTTTATGGAGAAAGTTATTACTTTCAGTCAAGTACTTATTTTTAGAAATTATCGATAGTATCAAAGATGAGATGGTTGGTGAACAGTTTTCACGAATCGATTCAAGTTGGACATGTAGAATATTGAATGAATTCCTAAAGGTTAAGCGAGTTTCAGGTGGAATCCCTAATGTGTAGCTATTAGACGCTCACAGTTGGGAAGGGAAGGTCTTATTACTAGAACAAAACAATTATTCACTGTTTCAGGGGATGTCCTGGCTAAAATTAGTCGATGGTGTCTAAGTTGAAAACTAAGTAAGGTAGCAAATTTATAAATCTATACGAAATCATCGTCTAGTCATATTTTGGTTTTGTTTTACGGTGTATTTTGTAAGTTACGTCAATTTACGGCAGGTTCAAATTGAGGTGTGTAAAGTAGTGTTTTGTGTGTGTGTGTGTGTCGTGAGTGCCAAACAGATCAAAAGGGAGATATAATCAAAACAAATGTGCAGACAATGAAAAGTATAAGGTCAATAACAACCAATTAAGATCGAGGTCAGCATAACCAGCTACGAGTCATACGTGTAGAAATTCGAATACTTCACTTCTACCTGAAGTTCGTGTTGATGATGATGTTGTTCAGTAGAACAACGAAAGCTTCACAACTAAAACATCCAGCTCAGAACGAAACTCCCCCATAATCATCCACCTGAGCTACAAAGTTTCTCCGCCATCTCAAGAGTGAATCCTTTATGTGGTTTTTTATTTATCGGCTGGATAAATAAATATTCATTTCAGGACTTGTGTTGGCGTCCTAAAGCTTTTGATGAGACAACCAGTTATTCACGAATAAGGTCATTACTAGGGAATGGTTTTGTATCTGTGTTATGGCTTTTGTATGTTGACTTTCAGCCTGAATGTTTCTAAATAGATTCATGAACATTTCCCGGATTATTAAATTTGTACATTGTATTTGGATGTTGGAGATTTTTCCGTGTAGAATCTTACAATGAAATAATTATCTGTTAATGTTTAAGTTTCACACTCTTGTGTTTGACTTAATTATTATTTATTTGACTGCTCAGCAATGCGCCTTATTCAACTATGTACCTGTAAGAAATTGTCATAAAAAACTCGACATGCGTAGAATTTAGGTCTGTCAGTCAGTCAGGAACAACGTGGAACTTCGTACCTACTTACATCAGTTCAAGTTGCTATACCATATTGGCACAGAGACGCAATTGTCAATTCAATGCCGGGTCGTAGTAGCTATCTTGACGTGGTAGTTAGGCTTGCGAATCGTGATGACCCAGGCGAGCTATATTGGGTGAAACATATGTTCCTGTACTTTCTACCCTGCTAGGTAGGTCGATTAGAGAGCGGTAAATCTAAAAGAAAGGACTTAAGGTCTGAAGGTGAAGTCGTACTGCTGGCTGTAGAGGTGTGTGACAGCAGTAAGATGTTTCCTTCGCACAACTAGCATCCACCTAGATTCTGTCTTCTGACAAGGAATGAAGGGATTAGAAAAGGTCAACCCTAAAAATGTCACACCTCACCTTACCACAATTTCAATTAGATAAAATGAAATAACCCAGCTGGACAGGTTAGTAATACCTGTGAGATGGTGGATAAGATTTGTAGCTCAGGTGGGATGATTGTGTTGTTGTTTCGTTCTTTGGGCTGGATGTTTTAGTTGTGGAGCTTTCATTGTTTTTCTTCTGAACACCATCATCAGTACAAACTTCAAACGTGGAGAAATTCGAATACTTCACTTCTATCTGAAGTTTATGCTGACGATGTTGTTCAGAAGAACAATAAAAGTTCCACAACCAAAACATCCAGCTCAGAGAAAGAAACCCCTGCCACATAGTAATACCTGTCGCTACTGAAAATAACTAACTACTTGTAGCTACGAAATATGAGTGATAAAAACATATTTTTGAAACCATGAATCGATCAATGTTAGACCACCATTAGAAACCTGGAAGCACTGCACGGCCATTTAGTCCTGGTATGGGTCTGACTCCTTAGCAGTGTGCATTCACGACTCCTGCACCCTGCAGGGTTCGAACCCAGGACCCTCAGTATTGTGCGCGAACGCCTAACCTCTGGACCACTGAGCCGGTATCTAACGGTGTTAATGTCTAACTTGATCAATCCACGGAGTTGCGCAACCTCATACACAGTCTTCGGTAGTTACTGTCTACACCCGAACAGGTTGAACTTCACAGTGGTCACGTCTTCCCACTAGAACTCGGAGAAGATTCCTCACGAAGCTAGTCACTAGTGAGCACAGGTAGCTTGCACTACGGGGTTGTGAAGATTGTTAAGTTACACAATCCCGAAGGTCCTGGGTTCGAACCCTAAGGGGTGCAGGAGTCGTGGATGCGCACTGCTGATGAGTCCCATACCAGGACGAAATGGCCGTCCAGTGCTTCCCGGTTTCTAATGGTGTTCTAACATTGATCGATTAATGGTTTCAAAAATGTGTAACTTAACAATCTTCACAGCCCCGTAATGCAAAAATATATTTATCATTTAGATATGAATTAAATGAATGGTAATTCCATTTTCACAAACTCATGGTTATCACGTGTTTACAAAACTAAATATCCTAACAATCATGATTATGTATGTATCTTATGATGATGGTATAACAAAAGTGTCAGTTGATTTTGTCATATTTTAAAAGTCAAACGTTAATCACTTGATGTTCTTAGGAATAACCAACCAAATGGATAAAAATTTTGTTAATATAAGTGACAAAAGATGGTCAATTAAAAAACTGTTAGTTATATGTCCTTGTCGTGGTAAATTTCAAATTTCCGGATTAACGGATCATACTTGGAATTTCCTAAAAAGTACCAAAGAATAAATTATGATATGATATTGATAAGTCTGCTGTTCGAATGGTTAGTAATGGCTTCCATAGATGTTCTCTAAATACACACAATTCTACATATGAGCTCTGAACTGTTGAAAAATGACGTGTAGTAAACATAAAAGCTTTAATTCAACGTCGTTTAATAATGCAAAGAACAGCATTTCTAGGTTTAGTGGTAACCTCCAACCTCTGTAAACGTTTTGAATCATGTTCAATTTAGTAACAAAATAAATAACCATCACATCATTGTAACGCATTCAGTTTTCTAGAATTTTTCGGGATTCCGAGTGTACGAATCCGACTAAATGTTCTCAACACCTTTTATAGCTTTTGAAGACCTTGTGAAGGAATTTTCAAGATGTCCTACCAGGTATATTACTGCTCACTAATCAACCAGTTTGAATATCTTATTGACTAAAGGATGATATTGCATAATATCGTTTTAAATTACTTGAAAAAAAAACAGTCATAACATTTCAAAAATACGTTGATAAGTTTGACGAAACCGAAATATCAATCAAGTCTGCTTGTCGACCATTTCTAAGCACAGATTCATAAAATTAAGTTTAATCACTGTCAAACAGCACTAACTGTAACGAGATAAATTCTTAGGGCTATTTGACTTTTCATCCACTAGTTACTTTTTTGACATTCAGTTGATGATGGAACTTTGAATCATACTATACAAGTATCTTGGTAATTTGTAACTATATACTCATTAGTAACCATTTATTCTAGATGTATTTTTCAAAGTTCTAGTGTGAAATCATGTTTTAAATGGTAATTTACTGGTGACATCTTTATATAAAGATCAAACTAAAGCTAAAATTGTTGTCCAGTGGGTTCCTGTCTCAGCGATATAAATATACCTTATTCTTAACAAATCCCTAAAACACTATGTTCCAACTCTTGTAACCTGGACATTATTTGGAAGTGCCAGAATAACAAAACAAAATTGTCCAATGTTCACTAGTTTTCAATGTTTTTCCAGCTAACATTGATTTATTATTGATAAAGTGTTTCACAGCTCTCCATCTGTCTCATATGATTAATTTTTAATTCTTTTTTCTCGTTTCTCATCCAGTTTTCTTTCTGTAATGACTTCAAATCTATGCGTTTTAACACAAAAAATTGGACGTCTTCTATTGATTGGTTTAAATCGACCGGACAAAGGTAATTTAATCAATCAAACAACTGCTTCAATGTTGAATGATATATTGTACAATCAATTTGATAAAGATCAGACTATCATTGGTGGTGTATTATATGGTGAAGGCAAAGATTTTTGTTTAGGTTTAGATATGGACGAATTCATTAATTATGTAAAACAAAATCCAACTTGTGATAATTTAACATTGAATAAACTTTATTCTTGTTTATCTATAGTACGTAAGTTTATTTATTTATTTACCTATTGACTGTTGTGTGCATGTTTTATTTTTTGCTCATATTTTAAAAAGTTGATGATGTCGAACTATTCAGTCAGTCAGTCAGTCACTTACAAATTAGAACTTCGTACGTAAGTACATCAGTTCATGTTGCCATACCACATTAGCACAGAGATGCAATTGTCATTAGCAGTAGTCGGAGAGGTTAAGATTAGGAGATATTGTTCAAAAAGTATGATTCAGTGAGATAAGGTTAGAAAGACAAAACCAGAGGAGTTGAAGAATCCAGAAGATTAGGATTTGATAGAACACAGAGAATAAATGCACCTGCGCCATTGCAAACGATTTTGAGCCATGTCATTCAAGGTCTCTAACCATCGATTATTATCATCTCGCGGACCCCAACCAGGTAGTTGACAACTACTGACATGGCTAAGTCCACTCGTCAATGACTTCATGTTTTAGTTTGGCCGACCCTAGCTTTCTTCCAACTTATTCCTACACTACAACACAAAGCTTGTCGAGGTAGTTGGTGGTTGGGCATACGCAACACATGTCCCAACCACCTCAACTGATGAAGTTTCAGCACTTCATCGATTGATCTGCCATTCTTACCTAGCACCCGTTTCCTAATAACAGCGTTGCTCACTCGGGTGTCCCAGGATATACGAGCAATGCTTCGGAGACACCTATGATCGAAAACCAGTAACCTACGAATATCTTCTACTCTCATTGGCCATGTTTCACAGCCATAAAGTAAGACGAAGCGAACATGTCAAACTATGCATGTATGATGTTTGTTTTAATTTTTGTAAATGTATGAGTTTTAAATTTGAAGCGAAATATTCAATTTGAAATGCTACTCCGCTTTTTCTCGTATAATCGATTTGACTTGACAAGTTGAATAAAATCAAAATGTGCACTTAGTAAATGTATACAGATTGAACTCAGTTTGTTCAGTGAAGTTTTCTACAATGCAGTTAATGGTTAAATTGTTAAACCAGTGAACATTTTTTAATCATTTTGGTTTATAAGTTTGAAATATCTTTCTATAATAGCTTAAATTTCACTAACTGCCAGTCAAGTTATCCTCATATTGTAGCCAAGAATCAATTAATTTAAGATTCTATTTATGTAATTGACAAGAGACACAAGAGAAACAAGGTGAAACAATTCTTGGATAACATTAAACTATTACCAGTACTTGCCTAAAAATTTCCTGTGAATCACATATATATTATTTAAATCATGAATAGGCCAATGATAGACCACCATTAGAAACCTGGAAGCACTGAACGGCCGTTTCGTCGTAGTATGCAACTCAATAAAAGTTCACAACTGTGACCTCACAAGCGGGAATCGAACCTAGGACCTTCGTTCTCATGCGCGAATGTTTAACCTCTTTACCATTTAGTCGGGATCGAACTTGTTAATGTCTAACTTCAACTAATCCATGATAGTGCGTAACCTAATCCATTGTCTTCAGTGGGTAATTGTCTCATGGCTTCTCACTAGAACTCTGAGAATTCCGTCACGAAGCTACTCACTAATGAGCACATAATAATTTTCATAATAGCGTTGGGTAGATTTTTAACACTGTTGGTTGCTTGTTTAGTAGTCAAGAGGTTGAGCGTTCGTGTACGATACCGAGGGTCCTTGATTCGGTCGCCGGGTATGGGGTGGGTGGGTGTGCGCACTTTTGAAGAGTCCCATTGTAGGACGAAACGGTCGTCTATTGCTTCAAGGCTTTCAATGATAGTCTTGGATTGATTGATCGATGATTCAAATGAAACTCAACAATCTCCACAACCTTATAATGTGTGGGTAATATATGAATCCTTTATTTATAAATGATCGAGTATGCGATCAAATAAATCTTCCCTTCAGTATCCGTATGCCATAATTTGGCGAACTCCGTTTGTGCGACGGCGGTTAATAGAAGCCAAATACAGATTCGGTTTTTTTTTCGGGCAATCATTCATGCGGACAGACAGGAGAATACAAAGCTTTAAAGCAACGCGAAGCGAAATGGATAAGGCCTGCGAGCCAACTCCCTTCGATAAAGCATGATTCAGTATTTATGGTTGCGTGAGCTGTTACGAGTTTGAGGGTAGATGTCATTTTACGGCTGCCCACACCGTCGAAGGGTGTTTCTTGAGGAAGCTGAAAAGGAAAGTAGATTAGCGTTGGTCTGAGCGACCTTAAAGCGTGACCGGAGAGCCCAACGGACAAACGCTTGATGCCGGTCACTCACGTCCTTTTGTTGGAAGATTTCGAAGTATTAGCTCCGCGCTTCAGATGGCCTTACCGCTAGAGATGGAAATCTGTGAAGTAAGGTGAGGTGTGACATTTTAGGGTTGGCATTTTCCAATCCCTTCGT